GTGCGAGCTGTTGGACTATAGAGTGTATAACAGGATGGATTTTAATTTATAATACTGATATATGCTACATGTATATAGTGACATTTATGATTTCATATGCACTATTACTGTGCCTTGTATTTCTGCAGTTAAGGGCACTTTAAGCCACTTTAAAATGTAATGTTGAGGGATGCTGGCTCCCCCCCCCCCAAAACAAAAAAACAAAAAACAAAACAAAAAACAAGAAAATGGTCACACTGCAGCTCTTTTTCAGTGTCTTTCTTTTAACCACTCAAGTGAAACAGACAAGCCAAATACTTTGAATTGGTGCTAACTAGCCAAGTGAGACAAACTGGCAGCTGCTCCCATGCCCACAGCCTTACATTCTTTCACTCACAGCTTGTCTGTGTCATCTATAACAAGATGGTGAAATGAATCTGATGCATGTAACAAAAACTGAGTAACCCAGCATGCTCTTATAAATAAGCTTATCAAATGTGTTCAGTACACAAATAATGTTAATGTTAAAATGCTTAAAAATACTTAAAATACTTAAAAATGAGAACATACATATGGAAATGATCTAAGATACGCTAAAAAAGATAATTCCATCATACTAAGACTATTACTAATACTATTACTAAGACTAAGAATAATGCTTATGTATTGCAATTATAAAATTTTAACCTTAACCACGAGCAAACCTTTTTAAACACACTATGCATTTTGCAGTTCTTATCATAAAACCACATGTGCATTGAGAAAGACTTTAGAAATAGTTTGATATAACAAAGAATTTACATTAAAAATGTACATGTTTCCATGATTTTTCTTTCTGACGACACCAAAACATGTTTAAATAGAAATGGAGAGGGCAAAGAGGTTGCTGCCCGTCTGAGGAGAGCTGTATGTGTGATCATATGAATATTAACATTACCTCAACAGTATTTTGAGTGTCACAGACACACACACAAGAGAGAAAGATGGAGAGTAAAGACTTCTCTTTTCCAAGATTTGACAGCAGAGAAAAAGAAGTGACATTTTGACATTTTAAGTATATAGGCAACTGGGGACCTCAGATGTTAATAAATGGGATCCCTTCCAGACATTTCTTAAGACATATAAGTTAACTTGTCAAAAACTTACTTCTTTCTTTACTAAAAAAAAACCTGGGTCTATAAATATGCTAATATTGTTCATTTCCACAGTTTAACTACTAGGCAAAAGATGTCTTCTGTTGAAAAGACAATTGTACATGCACTGTTGGTTTCACATAATAGGCTGTCTCACGTTAGTTGCATACTTCAGCTTCAAATTTTCCACATTCTTCATGAGATTGTGCACAATGAAAATTGAACATCTGAGGGAACTAAATTTTTTTTTTTTGTGATTAAAGATGGATAATGTACCACAGAGTTCAGACATTCTTCTGTCTGATTCTATCTAAAGTAACAGCTTATCTGTCAGTTTGTATCTTACAAAAACTATTAAAAAGGTCACAGAAGATGTTTTTTTTTCTTTTCTAGACAATTTTGAATGTTGTGTCTGTCTAATGTTCAGACAAAGGTCTTTATCCCTGCATTGAAAAAGCCAACTGTAGAATTTGGTTCATCAGGTCTTGCAAAAATTAGTGCTGAAGAAATAGACGGTCGCCTCGCTTAAGTCAAAAATTGTAGCCTTGCAATGATACAGCTCCCGCTGTGATTCTGGCTGTGGCCATGGCCGTGCTTTGGTTATTGGATTCTTGTTGTAACACATAAATATTGACTTCATGCGGTCGTGTGGGTGCAGTCATTGTTCTGCTGGCTCTGTATCAAAACACCAGTGGTGTGTTGGTAATATATAGCTGATAGATTCAGTCCAGGTTCAACTAGTAGGACACCTGGACATATTCATATTAAAATGGATTTAACCACAGACGCAGGTGAAGTCATAATAACAACAACTGTATCCCGCCCCATCTTCACATGGATCAGTCAGGCAGAGTAGCTGCAGCTGTGTTCACAGCCAGGAGCTGTGGACTCTTGGAAATAAGCTTCACATCATGGAAAGCATTACATTTTCTCCCCTTTTATATTGTTAAAGGCAAACGTTATTGTAAGGTAAACATTCCCCACTTGTGACTTTTTAGAGGTCAGGTACTTCTTAAAGTCCACTCAACACCAAAGCGTGGTGTGTGATGTGGCATTATTACATCATAGTTGGACATGCAGGTGTGGGTCAGCTTAACATAAATGCAGAGCAAATGCAAAGGCACCAGCATCCCTCTCTGTCAGAGGATGACCCGTGGACTATTTCCTGATGAATGAAACACACTCATTTTCTAGCCTCATTGGCTACAAGTGCCAAGGGCCTCATTTAAGTCTGCTGGCATTGAAAACGCATACATACACAACTATTGCACTCACTCATAACTAATGCACACTCAAGTAAAGATGTGCACATTTTGACTCAAATTAAAACATAAAAAACCTCTGCATATTTTCACACACAAGCTGTGTACGTGTGCAACTGTGGGTCTTTAATGTGTGCTCTTAGCATTTGCAGATTTTCACAAACTGGGTGACAGCTTTCTTGTTTCACAGTAAGGGCTGTGTCGGCAGTAGGGGCTCACGGGTGACAAGAGATATTGATAAAATCATTTGTCACCCTGTGAACATTTCAGAGAGGCTGTGGGCAGAAAATAGCTGCTAACTAGTTTTCAAGGATGTCGAATGAAGGAGTCAGTCTGTATACTGCTGTCACTCTAGTGTCTGGTTGAGGTCAGGGTGAGCATGCATCACTTTGAGTCTGTCCGAGCTGTGGAGAGGTCGTACTGAGGCTGTGAACCTGGTGATGCAGGCAGTATGGTCTCCCTGTAATTGAGTTTGGGATGGAGAGAACATGAGAGATAAGCGGGAGCACACTGATGGTATCTAAAAACAGAAGACAGTGCTAGAAGCTGCAATGTCAGAAAATATATTCAAATAAGACCGGAATTTGAGAATTAATTTATTGAGCTTTCGGATTAATCGTTACACACTTATAATCCAGTTGGACTAAGATCATTATGTATGATTATCCACTGACGAAATAAAAAGTGTTGTAGGCAGTCTAAAATGCTTGAACACACACACACACTCCTGAACATGTGACTTACTTTAATATCATTTCAGTGTTAACATGTCCAAGGGCACAGTCTTGTAATGTCCCCTTGATTGATGTGTCACTACCTTTTTAACATCAGCTAGTCTGAAGGTCAGTTAGGCAAAGAATCAGCTAAAAGAAGCTTAGCTAGAAGGTACAGATGTCAAATAAAGGCAATGTGGCACAGATTAAACTGTTTTTAGAATAGTTACACTGAGGAAGAACCTCTAATGGTTTGAAAGTAAATTCAAAAGAACAATTCATGATTTTTTTTTTACTTTAAGTAGCTTTCAACCTTTTCCTCACATGTGGTTTTGTAAATATTCACAAAGTGACAACATCCTCACTTTCTGGAGTAATATAAAAGCATGCACTTTTAAAATTAAGCTGCCTTTATCCTAATTTGTTGCGATCCATCGGGTTGTTTGCTAATTAAATGACACCAGAGACAGATTCTGAAAACACAGAGGGCTTCTTTGGAAAGGCATATTGTACATTTGCACTTGTTCTGTAATGAGACTAATTACAATATTTTTCATTCAATAACACAAAATCACTTGTGACTGCACACGTTTGGGAACATGTATGTAACCTGCTGTTTTTCTGATACTTGGCACCAAAGGCAAAGGGTGCATTTTAGAGGAAATAAAAACATGTCAATTGATTCCATTGCACAAATTCAATATCATTTCCATGAAGACTTTCAATCTCCTACCCCACAGGGATGGATATAAAGGGTGGATAAAATAAGAGAAAATAAGAGAAATACCACATGAAAAGAAGCTTTGAAGTAAGTGAATCACAAAAGCAACTATTCATGCGAGTCATATCAAATAAGTTGAATGCCATGTAGCTTTTAAAAAGGTCTGACAGACAGCACTTTTATTAGTGAGCTTTTAAGACATCACTAGGGTTTCAAAGTTTCAAAGATGCCAAAGAGTCAGCGCCGGGTTCATGGTTGCATTGGTCAAAAAAAAAAAACAACAACTCCAGGATGATTTATTGTGACAGGGATAATAGACGTTTTAAATTATGACAACATATTGCCAATGCAGGGAAACAGTATCATCAGCCTAGAGGAATAGTGTTTGCCAGTAAAAGCTTTCTGACACTGCGACAGCAGTTCACACCAAATGTAGAACAGACATGTAGTAGAAGTTACATGCATGAGTTGAGCTGTTCACTCCAGAGGCATATATCTGTGTGCAGTCCAACAACGCTCTTAGATACAAAAAGAAAAAGGGAAAAAAAAAACAAAAAACGCCTGACACAAAGGTAAAACGTCTAGTGAAAATAGACTTTTTGTGAACATAGGCACCAGCATAGAATAACTACTGAGAGTCATAAGCTTCTTTTTAGTTTTACACTTCAATAGTTCTAGCTCCTTTTTCAACTATATCCACAGCCTAAAATCAAGTCATTTCTCATTTCACTGTGATGGGGTAAAGTCTACAGGAGTATCAAGTTTCTCTCTGTCCATCTCCATCAATGAGGTTATTAACTGACCAGTTTATTTGCCAATGTGTTAACTGGACTTAATTCCACACATTTAGATGTGTTCTGATGCCAAACCTTGAAAAATTTATCAAAAGTGTTCTTTGATTTAAAAAACAAAACAAAAACAAAAACAGGCAAATTATCAGAATTTTCTCTGAACCAAAAAGATGTTTTCTTGATAATGTCCTTGTTTTCAATGGGTTTAGCGGTTTAGACATAGGTGTGAAATTATACATTATTTCATATCAATGAAATATGCATGACAAGCAAAACAAATAATTTTTTACACATTTCTATGTGTGCATCTTTTTCTCTGAAAGCATCAGACAAACCATGCATATCTCTTTGACCAGGAAAGAAAATCACCAAGGTTGAGCCAAGCTCTGCCTAAGTCTTACCTGCCAGCTCAGTCAAGATCCAAGGGGTTTTAATCATCCACATATTAGCTTTCAATCCACCAAAATGCTGGACCTGCAAATAAAAGAGGATAAATGTAAGCAACCTTTAAAATAGATTTGTAGCAATACAGTTTCTGTCCACTCCATTCCCCGGGCTCCATGGAATAGAGTCCATGAATAATGCACATTTTTGGAAAGATCATGATGCATCTACTCAGCTACCAAAAATGCAATTTTTTTAAACCCCCAGGATAGAGTACACCTAATTCAAAATTCTCTTTACTGTTTCTAAATAATCATTGAGTCATCTTGTTAGTTTTCCTTTCAACTACTTCCTCAGCACTCTCTGCTGATGCTGATATTTTAGTACCTCTGAGACCCTCCATCTAACAAGAGGGACTTTATAGTATGCTACTGTATGTCGGAAGAGCTCATTCCTCAGGGACGACGGGACAGTCAAAGCCATAAAACTTCACAAACACACTGCAAAACACATATGCACACAGCACACACACAAACACCCAGAGCCTGAACACACAAACACGGACACACAGAGGACAGACCCTGTTGAATAAATTATGGGGGACAAAAGCAAATGGAGATAAAGCTCTCCATCCTGCATGGCATCCATTAGTATAGTGCAGGAACCCTGAATCTAAATAAGTGTATGTTTGATCAAGTGGGTTGTTACTACAGTAACAGGCAATCATAACAGCCATTCCTGATTAAAGATTTCTCATTTACACAAAATTGCCAGTAAGTATGGTCTCTGTATTACGGTTACATTGAATCCAAAGACATACCAGTTAATAGCCACAAAACACTGCAAACATAGAGATGTCTTTCTTATATTTAATGCAAAGTTAAACTGAAAAGACTAGAGCAGAATAGAATGGACATCAATGAGTTATATACAGTTTAATACAATTGAATACATTTAATAATTATAACAGCAATAATAATAATAATTTCCCCCACTAGCCCCAGAGCTTTTTGACAACTGGCAATTGGCACAGATTTGGTGATCTTTGGTGAGTAGGTCTATTTATAGCAGATGTAGTTGACTCAAAATAAACTCATCGAAAGGAGGGGAGAGGTGACTTTGCACAACAGTGTAGCTCACGGAAGAAAAAAGGAACCTGAATAGTTTAGCACTCATGAACATGTCATGAATCTTGATGATATGTAGGAATATAAATAGAATATCATTTATCATCAATAATAAAAGTATACCTCAATCCAAGTCTATAGCTGTAAATAACACATATGTGTTTAAAATCGGTAAGCAATGACAAGATCCCTTACTGGAATAAGTAAGTTTATCAATAAATATTGTAACACAATTAGTTGAGGGAGAAGTATTCAGTGCTATCTGTCTTAAACTTTGCTAAAAATGACCAATTATGTCGACAAAGTAGATGATAGCGATGATGGATATGGACTATGTGCTATAATCATTATCACTGTTGTTATTATCAACAACATCAATATTGTAACCACCCTTCCACCCCCACCTTCTATCCTCCACAGAGAGCACAGAAAACGACTTCTGACTTTCCTCTTCCTCTGACAAAGATCTACATTATTACATTTTTAAAAAGCTCTTTTCGTCCTGTATTTTAAAAGACGTATGTGTTTTTTTCTAATTAAGAAAAAGGTCTGGTCTGTTAGAGACAGCTGCGACTTTGATGGTGTTTGGACATTTGTAGGATAAGAAAGTATGATGTGTTTCTTCAGTCAGTATGCTATATTTTGTAATTTAACTACAAGGTAAGAAATAGCAACCCATGGATGATCTAGAATAATAGAATAAATGCCAAGCCTTGAAAATGTATCCCCAATGTTATCAAAATTATACATTGTTATTTTCTAAACATCGTTATACAGTGTGTTATTTAAAAAAAATGGTCTAAACAGGTAAGGATAGTGACAGTTTGCAAATAAAAAATAGCTAATAAGAAAAAAACAAGGTAAAAATGTAGTCTAATACAGACAAGCAGCACTAAGGTGTTGTAGTTAAATTAAAAGGAACAACACTTATTTGTACCAGATTAAACCCATACTCAGCCTTAAAAAAAAAGAAAACAAGCCATGTAGCCTAACAAAGTCTTACTTCACTGTTTTCTGTCCAGGATCTCAGCATATTTTGACCAGCAGGTCACACTACATTACCCACTAGAAAAGACCAGAAAGGCATGTCAGGATGATTCAACTGACTACACATCCACTCGTTCAATTAAGGTCTTTGGTGGGGCTGGCCCGTGTGGTTTGCAGTGTGGTAAATGCATCTCCCAAAGGAGCAGTAAGTGCTGAAATCAGCTCAGCTGAGCCTTCCATTTGTCATTATCTAATGGTAAATCCATGTGTGTCTAGTAGAAGGCTCTCACCAACCAGTAAGTGACACTAAGAGAAAAAAAAGGAAAAAAAGAAAGAAACACATTGTATACACAATAAACACCTTTGTAAAAAATTTAATGTCTATAGACATGTTAGAGCAAATGTGTGCATACTGTTCCTCTTATATATTGTATTTTACTACTAAAAGCGGTATGATTATATCAAGAGTTTTAAAAGATCCATGAAATCTCTCAACTTTGCTTTGATGTGTTGTACAAGCACACATGGATTCCAAGCTATATTTTCTACTAAAAACAACAGAATGAGGAAGATAATGATGACGAGATAAAACAAATTAACAGACTTAAAAGTAGGCATTTAGATAGAATACAATTATCTGAAACAAAGAAAGCCATTTCATAATTCTCTCAATTACATGATCTGGGACTTAATTAAATTAGAATGTGACCAAATCTATGTTATTAATTAATACATGCCTCAGCTATGTGCACAGTTTGTTGGTAGACAATATAAGGGCTTACAGGCTTTTCTGGAAAATTCAGATTTTTTTCTCCATGTGTGTGTGTGTCAGTGTGTGTGTGCGTGCCTGTGTATGTTTGAATGCCTGTATGTGCTAGTACAGTTGATCATCACGCCTACTGACAACCAGACTTGCTTGAAATATGGTGTCTGATGGTATGATGTCATACTGCCAGATCTTCTTATCTGCAATTCAGAAACCGGTGCAGGATGAGGTCTGTCTATTGTAACAGAATAGTTTCATCTGTAGTGTTTTAGAGTGATGCAAAACATAGCTATTTTCAAGTCCAATAGAATTGGAAGCCCTGCAGGGCTGAAGGCTAAGAGAAAAATGGGATACATCACAGACTACAGCATGTAGCATTGTCCTCAACATATTATCCCTACAAAAGATTCACTGTAAAAGCATTATAATTTGCTGTTTAAAAGAAACACTTTTACAGACCTTGGTTAGCACAACAGTTTGAAATGCTGCTGAACCGAGGATGCCGCACAGGAACTCGTTGCAGAGTGGAATTACTGCAATCAGGGGAGATATGGAATTAATATGTCTGATTAAGTGCCTGACTAAATTAGCATTTGGAGTCCAAAGAGATTTCAAACACGAGGGGAGGGATGAGATATGTTCTGAGAAGAAGAAAGGCTGACAGATTGCACTATACAGGATAATAGAGTAGCTAAAACAACAAGACGGAGGGAAATGATAGAAGGAACAGTTACGACTCTTGGTTTTACTCAGATCAGTCGTTAAATAATTTTAACAAATAAAAAAACAACAACAGAATTTTGTTTTCTCCTGATCTGCTTGCGGAATGGATTCACACTCGCTGCCTTATCTTAGATTTTCACCAATACAGAAAGCAGCTGTCAGTTGTTCATGATGTGAGAGGTAATTGGTTTGGCCCCATCAAAAAAATTAGCGCCTTCAAAGACACTATGATCTGTTTTCATGTAGACCCAGTAATTAGGAACTGAATGACTACATGGAGATGGTTATACTTAGAGAACAAAGACATTAAGAATTAAAAAATGTGAGAAGTATTTAGAGACAGGCAAATAAGGACACAATACCAACACTTATGAAAAAAAAAGGTGATGAAAAACAGAGGGAAAAAGTAGTACGAGGAGATGAATGGAAGATGAAAGAGGAAACATGACTCGCCCCTCGGAGAGAGAGAGAAATAAGTTATCAATATGGTGTTTCTTCCTTAAAATGTCTAACTTGAAATTCTGGTGAAAGCCGGAGAAAAAGGCATGAGAACAGATGACGTCTTGATTAACAGAGGAGGCACAGCACAGTAAGCAAAACAGCATATGCAATGCAAATCTATTTGATCTGACACTGAAATTGAATCTGTGCGCGGTCCCTCTTAATTAACAAAAAAAAAGAGAGCAAAAGTGAAAGAGAATAAAAAGAGGACAAGATTACTCTTAAAAGAACAGAGTGAAGCGATCAAGGTAAAAAGCGCAGCCAAGGAATAAAATGCAAGGTAAGACAGAGAAATGAAAACCTTCGAGCAGGAGAAAAGGTGAATACAAATTAAGAAGAAAAGGCAAAGTGGTATGTGGATTACTTTGGGCAAATGAGTGATATATGAGCAAAGAGGGTGAGAGACACATGGGGAAAGAGAAGAGTGGAGAGCAGTAGAATTCTTATTATTTATTTCATTTTGTGGTGTGATGGCTGTTGAGAGAAGTTTGCTTTCATGACTTTGCACCAGAAAGGCTTTCTAAAAGAAAGCTTTCAATTCTTTTATATTCGATTCAGTTTTCTCTTACAGTTTGAATAGGTTTAGTCAACAAAACTCTGGTTAGGTGTAGGGAAGAATAATATCCACCCATTGTCTTAAACTGCTTGTCCAGCTAAGGGTAAAGGTATGCCGGAGCCCGTCCGAGCTGTCATAGGGGGAAAGGTGGTGTGCACCAGTTTATTGCACATCTAACACATAGAGACAACCGTTCGTGCTCACATGAACACCTGGGCAATTTAGCATCACCAATCAGCCTAGCATGCATGTCTGTGGGAAGAAGCCAGAGTACCCAGAGAGAACATGCAAACTCCACACAAAAAGGCCCAAGCAGGTTAATGGACATGTTTGTTTCAGTATATTTCCAGTCAGTGGGTTTAAACCAGGAATTCTCTTGCTGTGACAGCGTAACCACTGCTCCTACGAGCATCGTGCCAGAAAAGAGTCA